AAATTTGCGCCACCGATAGGTTCCGTTGTTTCCACCGATAAAGAGTGAAGCAGACTTCCGCAACATGCGTCCCTCCCTTCGTAGATAGGGCAGATGTGAGCATATTAGTGGCCACTTCCGCCGTAAGCTTATGATTCATTGTTCTTTTATGGGTGCATGTGGACGGCTGAAGAGGGAGGTGGCGTTAGGCCTCGCAAAAACGACCATTTTATGGCGTGCGGAGGCGGAAATCTGTGACACTTCACCCTACTTGGCTAAAACTTGCTGCCAAAGGAATTCTGCATCCATCGCAACGGGACATAAGTACAGGATTGACTCAAATTAACTGAAAGTGGGCACACATAAGATGCTTATCTGTAAAAAAAAGACCTGAGAATAACCTGCAAGAATTAGTGACAGTGACGTTAGGGAGAGGAGGAGCCACCTAATAGGAGAAAAAAACAACGTCTGGGACGGAAGGAAAAAAGGACAAGGTAGGATGACACGCAATTACGGCAGGAAACGCACCTGTCGGCTGTCATAATTGTAGACAGGCGATGAGCTATAATCAGGATAGTAGCATCCTTAAAGACATCACTCAGAATGGTGCTCATCACCAGGCGATCAGTGTTCGGATCCATGGCGGAAGTGGCTTCATCCAAAACCATCAGACGTACCCTACCCCCACAGGAGAGGAGAACGCGGGCAAGACAAACCAGCTGTTTTTGCCCAGCCTGAAACGAGAAAAAATACTTGTAGACACACACACACATGCGTCAGGGTAATGAGGGTAATAGAATAATAGTAAGAGCTGAAAAACTGTACATTTAAGTATCCCACGGTTGTGTCATAAGCATGCACAGAAAGAAGTGGGACTTTTATAATTAAACCACCATATTTCTTTTCCTACATTCACATGAAAATGTTATAACATGAACATCGCTTGATCTATAAAGTCCATTATATAGGGATTTTTACACTACTATGTTTATTCAAATTACAATAATAAATCTATCTGCACACTATACTCGCAAGGAGTGTAGCGCAAGTACAGTAGATTCCCTACCTCAGGAAATGTCACGCGGAATTCTGAAATGCTTTTTCGATTCAAACATATTATTACGTATGGTTTAAAAAATGACAATTGTACAGGCTCATCTCAATATATTTAGGTCATGTCAGGGTGCCGGCTTTTTAAGAAGCTTCCTTCTGACCGCCAAGTAAAAAAAATGTACTATAAAATGTGACTACTTAAGTAGTTTGCCTTTTTACATTGATTTTGGCTGCCTTCATAAATTAAAATATACTTTATAGAAAAAAATGCTCTAAAAAAATTTCTTGTACTCGTTTGGTAGCAAATTATGCCGTCTTTAAATTTTATACTTATAAGAATGTAAACTACTTAAGTAGTTTCTCTTTATAGTATATACTTCGTCTTCGCGGTCAGAGGGAAGCTCATTAAAAATGCCGGCATCCTTAAGTGTCCAAAATATGCTGGGATTAGACTGTACGATTGTCTCTATTACAACCATCCGCAATTAATATGTTGGAATCGAAAATGCATTTCAGAATTCAGAGGGACGTTTCATGAGATAGGGAATCTACTGTACATTTTGAAATTTATTCACCAACGACTCGTCCCGCAATCTTTAAGCATTATCATTTTTCTTCATGTTGAGGCTTTCCCCTTTTTGCTGAAAATTTCGGAATGATAATTTAAAAGCTGGCGGCATGGTGTAGTGACGTTAAAACTGTTTTGCCGACCCATTTTCCTTCATGGGCTGCTTATTACTTTATGCCGCAAGTGGTGGAATTATATTTTCAAAGGCCATCGGCATGGTCTGCTGACGTCAAACCCTGTAGGTTCATTAAAACTTTAAAGAACAGAATTTGGCAACCATGGTAGTGAAGAAAACACACCGCTGTTGCGCCGGAGAGAATTAAGGGAATTCTCACCCGTGGCATGCGTTAATTAGGCCACCTCAAGTCCGTTTGAGCTTATCACGATTGCCAAAGTACACTTGTGGTGGGCGGTAGACAGAAATTTGCGTGACTTCAGTATTTGCGTCCAAACTTGTTACCATAACAATTTGAATACCCGTCGACGACTCGTTAGACGTTGTGCTCTGCACTAGCAGTAATGGTTGAATGTGCAAGCTTACGGTTTATTTTATATTAAATACCTACTCAATTAACTAAAGTAAGCAAAATACTATAGGGTTTAATCAAGGTTAAGCATTTAAAGTTAAAATTTGGTTATCTTCGGTGCTGTCCGGAATTTGCGACTGAGGTTAACATTTAGAGGAAAGACGGAAGATTTGTGTACTGCATATAATTACAGTTATGGTCAGCGGTAGTTTTGAGGTCAACGTCAGGGAGTGTTTTAGAGTTAGGCTTACCTCCCATATAACCATTGCGCAATCCATTATTTTATTAACCCATGTCCTTGTATCTTCCATCTCCGCCTAGTTATATGGCCCCTTATTTGCATCATTTAAGTTTTTCGGTCTGTTC